GTAATTACTCTAGAAGACTTCATTGAAATAAATTCTAGAAAGTTCCAGAACCCTGAAAAATAATAAGTATGTGATCAGGTATGGAAACGATCTCTGAAGAAATCATAAAAATCGTATTTGAAAGTTTAGTCAAATAAAAAATATCAGGCAAAAGAGGCAACCGAGGATGTTCTTGTGGACCCCACGTGGGTGTCCTATGCAGCCGCCCTCCCAGAAGACAACCTCGGATGCCGCCTCGGCTCCGCCTTTCACCTGATGTCTTCTCCTGCATGGTTTTTTTACATATATATAAATTTCACGGGTTTTTCTGATCTGTGTTCCATACTTTTCGTCCTTTTTTCATTTTGAGTTGTTTCTGCCACGAATTTCTAGTATCTAGAGCATGTCTTCATTTCATTGATCAAGTAAGATGAATTATGTTGCACGACAAGCATGTCATGCATGGCAAGCTTATCTCGAGGAAAAGTATGGAGAGTTATGGGGGAACTTCATCACGGATCATTTCAGAGTACATAGTAGGACCACTGTGTCAGATGATGAGGGTAACTTTTATCATGAAGCCGACGGGTGGACGACAGATGACGAGATCGCCGCCAACCCGGGAGAACATGTAGTAGCAGACGAAGAACAAGATGAAGAAGTTCCACTTCCCGAACCTAAATATTTACATGTTGAAACCTTCCGACAAGCATCCTATACTTGTGGGCTCGATAACTGTACAACCTCCTAATCTTAAGAGCATCTACAACTGGACCCCTTATATCCTCCTCAAACGCCTGAAACATCTGCCCGGTCAGTGTCCGGTCAGAAAATGGTGATCCAATCAGACCCTTCATTTCCTCCCTAGCATCCGGACTGACCGGCGTACCTCAAACCCATCTCAAATCTGAGGACAGTATGAGGGCGTCCGGACATGCCCGGGCACCCCGCCCAAGGTCACAACTGTTGATGTATAAATGTATTACCTAATTTCTTTTATAAGATCGGTCTTTTGGTTGCATTGACTAGAACATGCATTTCTACATGGTATCGGAGCCAAGAGGTCTTGAGTTCAAGATCATACAATTAAATTGCAGCCCACTTTCGGTCCACGTTTAGACCCGAAAGAGACACAAGTGAGGGAGAGCGTAAATGTATTACCTAGTCTTTTCCATAACATTGGTCTTTTAATTGCATTAGCTAGAACATGCACTTCTACAACAACGGCCCCACCTGCAGCCTCTTTCTTCCTCATCTCTGCATCGCGGAAAGGATGCACCGGCGTGGGCAGAGGAGGCCAGCTACCCCGTGCATCACTAGCTTGCCGCAGCAGCAGCCATGTGGCTCGCCGGCGTGCTGGCCGTAGCCTCACGGGAGTCGCGGGCGCGCTGGCCGGCCTGCGCACTCAGCGCGCGTGCGGGCGTGTGGCCGTGCTGGCCGCCGTGCGCACAACGCACTGGACGCGGATGCGGGCGTGCATAGCCGTAGCCGCGTGCCGCGGGCGGGTGTGCCCAACCGGAGCCGTGTGCATGCATGCTCGGAGCTCGCGGGCTCACCGCCGGAGCCGCCGCAGCCTCGAGTTGCTCGGCCGCGCTGCGTGCTGCCCGGCAGTGAGCCACGTGCTGGCTGGCCGTGTGGTACGTGCGCCCGGCCGCGCGCTGCTGGCCGGTAGCTAGCCGTGCGTGCTGGCGAGCCACTAGCCATGCGTGCTGGTGTGCCTGTTGGGACAAACCCACCGACGACGAGTGCCTAGAAGCCCTCCGGAGGCGAACGCCAGACGGAGGTTGAAGACGATGAACAAAACACACTTCCGGCAACGAACGCCCCGTCCGACAAACAACCTGTATGTTGGCATCTATTCATCTCAACTCCCTCAAACACATATACATGAAGGTACACACGCACACACGCAGCATAATTCCGGAAGAACTCTCACATTGACCGGACGCATACCACGATTCCGACGGAGACTACATCTTCCTTAGGCCCCTCCACCTCGGCTCGCCACATACCGGCACTATGGCGCGGCAACAAACCGGCGCACCCAACCAGTACACATGGAAGGTATTTATACCTGGTGCGCACACACACGACCACCGCGCACGCACACACTAATCTAACCACTAACCTAACTACTACATGGATCCCTACATGCATGCAAGTCTTTGTATGTCTAGCATTTTTGCACAACTAATCCGTACGTGCATGCACCAACTAACTATACTAGCTAATCTCCATGCACACACGCATCCGCTGCAGCCCGCGCGATCCACACGCAGGACGGACACGCACCTGGCGCACCCGACGCCGGTCGCCACCGCACATGGCATGGCTTATGCCAACAGTGCCGCCCGGCTGCGCGTGCTGGCCGTGCTTGCTGGCGTGCTGCCGCTGCTGCTCTCCATGCTGGCGAGTTGCTGCATGCGCAGCCGCGCGCTGGCCACGAGCTGGCGCGCATGCTGGCCGATCGAGGTGCTTCCACCCGCGGAGCTTGCCGCTGCTGCTTGCGCTGGAGGTCCGGCCACCGCGCTCCTAGCTGCTAGAGTATTTAACCAAAAACTACCACAATTCACGGAACCGTGACGAAAAACTATCACTTTACGATTTTGTGCGAAAAACTACCGCTTTTTTTCTAAACCGTGGCAAAAAACTACCAAGTCTGAAAAGAGCCCGATTTGGCCCTTTTAAGTGCGTTTCTGACAGAGTTGGCCCACACATAAGCAGGCTAAAAAAGCAATCGGGTCCCTAGTTTTTTTTTAAAAGCAATCCAGTCCTCCAGCGACTGGAGGGGGCGGGCGGCTGCGTGCACGCGTCCGAGGAGGCACTGGGATGCGCGACGGCGGCGGCGTGGCGAGCTCGCGGCGGCCCTGCGAGCTGCGCGTGCCATGGGGCCCGGCTGCGTCAGGCAAGGGGAGGATCCTGCACGCGCTGCTGCGGCAAGCCGGCGGGGCGGCTGCTCGAGCGGTTGCGCACGGCTGCGTGTGCGCGTGCGGCAGTGGGGCTGCGACGAGGTGCGGCTGTGCAGTGCGGCGGGGCTGCGCGAGAGGAGGAGCTCGTGCCCGTGCTGCTGCTGCAAGAGAAGGAGAGGAGGCAGAGGAGAAGGAGACAGAGAGGAGACAGTGGAGAAGGAGAAGAGGGACTGGGTTGCTGCTGCTCAGCAAGCTGCTGCAGCAAGGAGAAGTAGAGGAGCACGAGCACCGCCGCCACGACGCTCGCCGCTTGCTGGCCGGCTGGCTTGCGTGCGCAGCAGCCGCCGCCGTCGCCGCGAGCGTGCTGGGCCTCGCCGAGGACTGGATTGCTTTTTAAGAAAAAACTAGGGACCCGGTTGCTTTTTTAGCCTGCTTATGTGTGGGCCAACTCTGTCAGAAACGCACTTAAAAGAGCCAAATCGGGCTCTTTTCAGACTTGGTAGTTTTTTGCCACGGTTTAGGAAAAAAGCGCTAGTTTTTCGCATAAAATCGTAAAGTGATAGTTTTTCGTCACGGTTCCATGAATTGTGGTAGTTTTTGGTTAAATACTCTAGCTGCTACGTGGCTCACTGCCGGGCAGCACGGTCGAGCACAATGTGCTTGTCGAAATGACTCAAAAGTGGGAAGAAAAATTTGAGATACGTGCTTGTTTGGAAGAAAATATGAGGGGTCAAAACGGACACGTCCGGTCACTGCTCGAGCGCGTCCATGGACGTTTCGGGATCAAATTAGCAATGTCTAGCTGTAGATGCTCTAACCCTGTGCAGGCTACACCCACTCGTCTCTCTCAAGATATTCTCGCTTCCTTCATCAGCTATACGCATAATTATATATATGGATAAAGGACCAAGCTTAATTATATGGGTAAAGACACCCTCCCGGGCTCTGTTCCAAGCTTGGGGAGGTGCCGCATTATCTTTTAAATAGTTCTTTATTCTCTTTTATCTTTTCATCCTTAGGTTATATCGTGATTTAGAGAAGTTATAGTATGGTACAGTGGCTGCAAGATGTTCTACCCTCTCCTTTAGAGAAATTATCAATGGTGTAAGGTTATAAATTTAAGAGATGGCATTGAGACTTCCTTTTTTTTTGTTATTATATATTCTATTAACACTGCAAGTCATCCTTATATATTCCAGATAGCTTGAAGCTTCTACCCACCCCGGAGCGTTCGTAATATGTTTGGCAACTGGTTGAGATGTCTTGATAAATATTTCCATTTACATATTCTCGCTTTGGCGGCAATCCTATGTAGGGCCATGTGGCTTTGTAGGAGTGACGTTGCTTTCAACAAAAAAATGTGTTTCAACTGATGTGCTGGGTATTCATGTGTGTACTATGTACACACCGGCTCCATGCTTGGTCTATCATGTGCTAATGCTTCAGCCATGAGCTTACGGCTAGGGAAGTTTTCTCCAACCATGGATGGCGGAGTAGTCTTTGACTCTTCAAATAGAACCTCCTCCATCTTAGTTTTTCTTTCTTTTTTCCTGTAAGTTGATGCTTTTTACTTTCCGTTTTTAAACGTGTTAGCTATGCATCTTGTTATGTAGAGTCAGGATATTCACTAAACGTAGGATTGAGTTAAAATGTCTTTTATGAAAAATTAATATAAACACATAATTAGTTCATTTTATTTCGATAGCCGACGGAGAAAACAAAACCAAATGATACAACTATATCTATACCAATATAAAAAGACCCAAGGGGCAAATTCAATCAATCTTAACAATCAAATCATGGCAATCCCATGACCATATTACTCCAATGCCGAGCGCTCAAGAAGTTTAGCGTGCAATTAATATTAAACCAGATATCATAGTCTATTTCTTTCAAGAAAAAAAACATTTGTGCTACTCACATAATTAAAACGTAATTTATATCTTACATAATATCTACGTGCGATTAATTTGCGCCCTAATAGCAGTGTGCATTGCACGTATGAATTTACTATTACATAACCAAGGAAACTAATAAGATGCCCAGAAGACAGAAAAGGAAACTAACCAAAAACGTAACAACAGCTAGTACTCAATGAGTTATTCTTTTCTTTTATTTGGTTAGTACTTTGTTGACGAGCGCCTCCAGGACAGCCATGGCCTTCCCGGCCTCGTTGTCCTTGGAGACATCGTCGGCGATGTTCTTGGCTTCCCCTTGGCGACACCTCTCGCAATTCCACTCGACATGCGACTCCTTGTTGAACTTGATGAAGTTGTCGATTTGGGGGAGCTGCACCTTGCTCATGCACAACTTGTCGAGTGTCTGGGCGGCGTTGGTCAGCTCCTTGAAACAGGTCTCGAAGCAGATCTCGTCGGCCTTGCTCATGCCCGGGTGGCTGTCCCTCTGGACCGCCGGGCTCGCGGTGGCCGTCGCGTTAAGAAGGAGCTTGGCGGAGGTGAGGGCCGCCATCCCCACAAGGCTCTCGTCGTTTGCGCTTACGTTCTCGTTGTCGCGCGTGATCATGGAGGCGCAGAGCTCCGGGAAGGGCGTGCCGGCGCACAACGTCTTGACCTTGGGGTTGTCCCCATCGGCGTCGGCGGCGGCAAGTGAGACTTCACTGAGGAGGAGGAGGACGACGACGACGAAGAAGAAGAAGGAGGAGGAGACGGTGGTGAAGAGCCTCGCCATGGCCAGCCGATGCACAAACTGTCCAATCGTACGTTGGAGGCCTAGACTATTTGCTTCTTAATTGGTTTACCCTTCTCCATTGATATATAGCCAAATGTTGGGGGTGGTGCTATATATAGATAGACATGCCAACCGCAGGGTAGGGGACGACGAACCAATGGATCGCCGGAGGTGGAGGAGGTATATGTGTGAGCTATGTTTTTCCTGAGATCGTATGGAAAATAGGGGTCAGAGAGGCGGTGGCCATGGTCAATCGAATCCATAGAGGTGAGGCAACCGAGCCACACAGATGCATGCATGCCACAAACTGTAAACCACTAGCTAGCTAGCACGTGGCAGGCACTAACGGGTGGTCAAACTCGAACTTACGTGTTCTAGACTACAATTAGCTAAGATGCATATTCGTAGAAAAAAATAACTAGTTGGCTAGTAGGTTGGAAACTAAAAACAAAAATAACTACTCCCTCCGTCCCACAATGTAAGACGGTTTTTGACATTATTGTAGTGTCAAAAAACATCTTCTATCGTGGGGCGGAGGGAGTAGTTGGCTAGTTGGCCACTTGGCTACTTGGTTGGAAACTAATAATAATAATTAGTTGGAAAAGTTGTAGTAGTGTTTCATTGACATCGCATAAAACTCCTAGGAACATGGGAAATGAAAATTATCAAATCATTGACTGACGAGCTACGTAACAACAGGGAGCAAGCCATCGTGCCTTGACCCTAAATTAAAATTATATGTCCATGAAGGGGAGATATCGCGCAAGTGTGGCGGAAGTAATAATGCACTACTCAACAATGGAATAACTGAAACCAAATGAAAGCGATGTGCAGCACCCACTTTTTGCACCATACGAGCCAGATAGAATGACCGGAAAAAGGGTCTTGGAAAACTAAATTCACTCAAGGGCAAAATATAAGGACTACATAATCTAGGGTTGTGACCCGAACCTACTGACTAAACTTTCATGGCAGACAACAGGGCAAAACTTGAAGTTATCCCCAGGCATGCCCGCCCTGCATATGGTCTCCATCGACGCCGTCTTGGGGTCATAGTATCCCAGTGACCAGCCCGTGTTGAGCAAAATCCGTCCATCATTCCGATCAATGGCCAAAGGTGTAGTCCACTCACACGAATACTCAGGCGAGAACTCTTCCAAATCTATATGACATTCCTTTGACCAGAAGCCAACCTCCTTCATCATCCATATGGAGATCACATTGATGGTCTTGTCGGAACAAGCCACACAAAGCGCGCCTTGGAGCTCGAGGATGGACACATGCCCGTTGCCATGGCTGCCGCATGGAGGGCCTGCAAGAACCTCAAATTCCTCCTTCTCGACATCGAATGCGATGATTTCACAATGTAGAGAAATTGGCCCGAGGTTAGGCTCCACCATCCAGAAAATCTTGCCATCGATGTAGGTGGGTTGGATGTTAGCTACTGGTCTAGGAGGAGCATCTAATGAATGCCATTCTTGTTCTTCCACATACCGCAAGCTGCATTCAAGTTGGTATTCCCGCGTCGTGAAGTTCTTCTCTTTGTAGGTCATACGCACTAGACATGCTCATCATGCTCGCAGTCGTAGCCCAACCCGATGCGGCCCGCATAGAAAGTGTCATCGTTGAGATCTTGAAACTCCATTCTCTCAATGTATCCCATGGCAGGATTGCACACGAAACTCCGAGAATGGCAGCTCCCCACATTGAGTCCCCGACAAGGCTGGGAACATACTAGATCAGGAACATCCGCACATATTAAGCCTCTACCAGTGAAGTCCTTCAAATCCATATATTGTCCAGTGTAGTAATCTGTGATGATCATGACACAAGGGCTTTTATTCAAGTTTGCATGGACGGCATGTGAGCGAATAAAACGATCGCACTCAACCATTGCGCGCCACTCCCTGCAAACCAGGCGCAACTCAGCAACCGATTGTGCCGGCATCCACTTGAGGATGTCAAACCATGCTTTGGTCGTCGGTGACGACCAGACCATATCCTCAATCGTGCGCCCCACGCGCACGACGCTCTCCTCATACAGGCCTAACACGGGCTCACGGTAGTCCACTTGAGGATGTCAAACCATGCTTTGGTCGTCGGTGACGACCAGACCATATCCTCAATCGTGCGCCCCACGCGCACGACGCTCTCCTCATACAGGCCTAACACGGGCTCACGGTAGTCCTCAAAGCTGCATAACACGGGCTCACGGTAGTCCACTTGAGGATGTCAAACCATGCTTTGGTCGTCGGTGACGACCAGACCATATCCTCAATCGTGCGCCCCACGCGCACGACGCTCTCCTCATACAGGCCTAACACGGGCTCACGGTAGTCCTCAAAGCTGCAGCCAATTGCCTCCTCGGGGCAAAACAGGATCTCCGGTGCCCCGGAGTTAGGGACGTCTAGGGAAAACACGTTGCAAGTGCCTGTACCAAACATAACCTTCATCCGTCCATTGTCGCCAGTATATATGCCAAGTGGAGCGATGTAGCATGACTTCAGTTGCAATGGGTCAACGCGACAGAGTTGTTCCCACTTTTGTTGCCCGTAATTTCTCAACACCCACACATGGTACATGCCATCAGCGTAACCCTTACCACCATAGCAGACACATAAGCAACCATCTAGCTCCGTCATCATTTTGACCGGAATATCAACCAAATAGGGCGGTGCTAGCACCGAGTCGAAGGTCTCTCCTGTCACATTGAAAGTAATAATGCCGCCATCACAACAAAGAAAGTGCAGACACCCGTTGAGGAACACGGCCGGGTTCTCATCGTCCACGATGCATGCGTGGGGCTGTTGCGCGGTAGGCCTCCAGTACGACGGTGCATCGAGGACAAAGACCTCGCAGAGGACCGGGCTGTACTCATCGCCCTCGTAGGCGGTGCTAAACACACGCACCACCTTATACTCGTGGGACACCGAGCAGTAACCAAGGCCGTACACCACAAACGGATAGTATGGTATCTCGGGCAGATACCGGAAAATCATCTTGGACGGGAGTTTGGTGTCGGGGAGAGGCAAGACCTCGCCGGTGCTAGGGTTGCAGACATAGTAGCCGTCGCCGGCGCATCGGATCAGGACGAGGCCGTGAAGAGGTCTGGTCATGGGAGTCTGGAACTGGTGAAAATTGTTGTACCTACACGTTAAGAAAAAGAGAGGCAGAACACTACACGTTGTGCTACCTGAGACGGAAGCGGACTCTAACCCTACAAGAGTTGGACAGCTCCTCGAGGGGATACGTCCTCTGAGTATTAATTTTGCCGTTGGCCAATGTTTTGCTTTTTTGTTCACACGTGGCCATGAACCTTTCCAATTTGCATTGGTGTAAAATCTCAAAAAAAAAATGCATTGGTGTGGCTGGCTAGCTAGGTTTAGAGGTATTGTTGTATCACATGTGGTACACCAGAAAGACCTACGTACGTACGCACGCTTCACCCTTGTCTCCTCAATCACATACGTACGGGTTCTTCTCAAAAAAAAAAAACGTACGGGTTCTCCATGAACTATGTAGAAGATTCGATCGCCGGCATTGCAACCCAGAGCAAGAGATCGAGCCCAGCAAACAGCACACGACGATGCATGGCGGCCTTGCCCGATGACATCCTCACCGACGCCTTCTCCTACCTGCCGGCCAAGTCGGTCGGCCGCTTGCGAAGTTCATGGCGCGCTGCCCTCTCGTCGTCGAGCTCCACCACCGGCGAGCCAGCACTCAAGCTTTTTTTCTTCAGCACTACCAAAAAGGGGCCTCGTAAAAAAAAAGGAATCCTATTTCTATGCTTGGCTGCCCGGTTCTGCTGATGCGGAGAAGCTCATGCCCAACAATTTCTCTCTTCTCGCCAGGCCTCTCCATGGCCTCGTCCTAGCTACTTCTCCGCGCCGACACCGGGTACCACGTCTACAATGTTTCATAGACAGAGAACTTCTCATCGTGTTCAGCCGTCGCCAAGTAGTACGCACTCTTCAATGAGAAAGAGCCTGCCATTCTTCTCCGGGTACCAGGCGAAGAAATCAGAAATCTTGACGTATCAGTGCACCGTCCCCAACCCGCAAAATGATCCTTTTTTAACCATCTCCAGACCATGTTCAACATTTCATTCTTCCTTCTGGAAGAAACCTCTTGTGTAACCTCCAAAATTGATTTGATTCGCACGGCCTCTATCACTAAACCTCTCGCGTCATCTTTCTTGCTTGTATCTCCTATTCCTTTGGTCCCAGCACCAACCGATTCGACATCTTTTGCAAAAACATGCAGCTGTAATCCTCATCCATTGTTGCACAATACAGTTTTTATTTAAAAAAATTGGCAATGTTTATTGCGTCTTTGTGGGACCTGGGTCCTCAGATGCCTTATTCCACAACGAATAAAACACATCTAAAATAAGCTCATACACAAACTAATGGTGATTGGTATTCACTTTTTGAAAATTACTACTTTTAATTTAGTTACAACAACAGTACTGTTTCATCGGCTTCACATGGAAATAATAACTCCTAAAAGTTGGTGCGGCAATTTTTTTTTAAGAAAAAGAGCGATCGACACGCTATGCAGCAACAGGTAGCAGGCCGTTGTGCCTCAGCAGTGGCTCCGGCGAAGGCTCCCGTCCTCGGAAAGCAACGAAAACCTGCAAAACAAAAAGATTTTCCGGCATCGGTAGCGGTCTTCAAACAACTCCATCACAGAAAGAGATATACTACTTCAAAAGTAGCTCGTCGACTAACCTCGAGCGGAGATTTCCCGCCTCCAAGTGCAAGAACCGTTTCTCTGAATCGTCTGCCCGTCTCCTCAATGGCCTGCAAACAATGAACAGAGCATTCATCAGCAAGTTTGAAAACTCATCGCGTTTTTTATTTTGCAATCATGCAAGGCTGGACGCAGTATGGAGATACATACATTTGGCAAGACAATCAAATGAAGTTAAGCGAACAAGTAACAAAAAAGGACATGATTCAGTCACAGGCTAGTCTCTATTTCTTATGATTATGAGTGAG